TACCCAGCAATAATTAGTTGCTGGAATTAGGCCTATACCTTCATTAATCTAAAAAAAAAATCCTCCAAAAATCTCCAGGTGGATTTTGGAAGACCTGAGAGGGGGTTACGGGTTTATTATTAATTAAGCCAATTTTCAGGGATGTGCTTTCTTCTTGGTAAACACAAGTACTGGTACCGGTACTGCCATCAATTGCTTTGGGCGCAACATGTTTCAATTTGCACAAACCATGCAGATAGGGAACTTTTTTAATTGATCCTGTTGGACAGCAGGCTTTGAAATATAACTTTTGAAACCAACTTTTTCATATATTCAACAGGACCACATAAACATGTTCATGCATGAAAGTCTTGATGCTACGGAAGCTTGAATTGCCTTCCGCGATACCGCGTTACCGCGATAATTTATCACAGAAATCCAGAAATCAGAGATACGTATTCCTCGATACCGCGTTACCGTGATAATTTATCACAGAAATCCAGAAATCAGCGATAATTCCTTCCGCGATACCGCGTTACTGTGATAATTTATCACAGAAATCCAGAAATCAAAGATAAATCATTCAACGATACCGCGTTACTGCGATAATTTATCACAGAAATCCAGAAATCAGAGATACGTATTCCTCGATACCGCGTTACCGTGATAATTTATCACAGAAATCCAGAAATCAGAGATAATTCCTTCCGCGATACCGCGTTACTGTGATAATTTATCACAGAAATCCAGAAATCAGAGATAATTCCTTCCGCGATACCGCGTTACTGTGATAATTTATCACAGAAATCCAGAAATCAAAGATACCTATTCCGCGATACCGCGTTACCATGATAATTTATCACAGAAATCCTGAATTCAGAGATAATTCCTTCCGCGATACCGCGTTACTGCGATAAATTATCGCATTTCTGGATTTCTGTGATAAATTATCACAGTAACGCGGTATCGCGGAAGGAATTATCTCTGATTTCTGGATTTCTGTGATTATCACAGTAACGCGGTATCGCGGAAGGAATTATCTCTGATTTCTGGATTTCTGTGATAAATTATCGCAGTAACGCGGTATCGTTGAATGATTTATCTTTGATTTCTGGATTTCTGTGATAAATTATCACAGTAACGCGGTATCGCGGAAGAAATTATCTCTGATTTCTGGATTTCTGTGATAAATTATCACAGCAACGCGGTATCGTTGAATGATTTATCTTTGATTTCACGATTTCTGTGATAAATTATCGCAGTAACGCGGTATCGTGGAAGGAATTATCTCTGATTTCCTGATTTCTGCGATAAATTATCGCGGTAACGCGGTATCTCGGAAGGCAATTCAAGCTTCCGTATGATGCGCATATGACCGACCATAAAGTTCCAACAGAGTTGGTGACCTCCTGGGGTCAGGGTAGAGGTTAAGATTGAATTCCCACCAACTGTACAGGTTACTTCACTGTACTATACACATCTGATATAATCAATGTATCTTCAACTTTTGAAGACTTGTATTGCATACACATGGAACATTTGCAAGAAACAGTGTAAGCAATGTATCTTGAACTTTTGAAGACTTGTATTGCATGGGGAAACTGTGAATGTCTTCGATACAACTGAATAAAGCCTCAAATATTTGAAATGTGAATTACATTTGTACAATCACTGTTACAACATGTTACTTTTAAGTAAGCTTTTGGTCACCTTGGTCTGGTGACAAATGCATGTCTATCAAAAGATCAACTTTCTTGGAGCCGAGTTGTCAGTATCCATCCTGAATACAAATGTGATTCTGCATGTATAAATACATGTAGGGACACAACAAGTTCAAATACTTTGTGATGGCGATTACAAAGTGATAGCGGCTGGGCTGTAGGTACAGTACCAGGTGCCAAGTGTTGGCAAACCGCGAGCAATCAGTATCTATTATGAAACAGTGACTGCGTTGAGATGAAGTATTAATCACAATTAAATTTACATTGTAAACAAAATTAGGAGTGGGTGGGTGTGGCAAGGGGAAGCATTGAGGTTGGTGGGGGTTGGATAAACTTGGATTACATCATCAGACCTACATACCTGGGAGTTTCACACCGATGCACTCAGACTTGTGTTGCCAGCCGTACACTGCCATTACACTGATGTTATAAAATCCAAACTGAAGTCAGAAATCTCAACACGAAACAGGCTCAACCATCCCAAAAATTATGACCAGATAGCTGATCATCACTGATGTTCTTCAGCGTGATTTCAAATTTCTCATCTTCAATTTCGCACGATGATGTCCCCTTTAACAGCAACCTATAAAATTATGTACACCAATCAAGTGGGACAGCATCGCAAGCTGGAGCAATAAAAACAGCAGAGATGTGTTTATCTTGATTCAAAACTAAGAAGTGCATCCGCTGGGGGTGGTTGGAAGACACAGAATACCGAGTTTACTGGTAATCCAGGCCATTAGTAAGTCCAGAGGATCCAGCCTCCATGCTGTGCCCAGACATCCAGGCACACTGACACGTCTGAAATCCAAAGCCAAGGACTATGAACCCCCTTAGAGCACTCAAGAACTCCGAAGGATTTGATAAGAACAAACCGACAAGCAACGACCTAGTACCCGCCTCCGCCCGATACAGCGAAGGAGTTGTAATAAGCTGTCACCGAACCCACGTAAGTATGAAAGGCATGCGATCCGCTAGGAAGGCAGAGCTGTTGACATATTCCATGTTGGAGCCAGAGCAACAGATGTAAGAGGTTGAGGAAGAAAAAAAAAATGGTACCAAAAGGTGACGGGCTGTATATGGTAGGATAAACAGAGTCCTGTGGGAGTACATCAGTAATTGTGTCTGAGGTCTTGTAATCAATGTCTGTGGCAACGAGCTCCAGTGGGACATCAAAGCTGGCAACTGTAGTTGAATTTGACACCGGTGTGCGGTAATTGTGTAAAATATTAAATTTTTTGGACAGCTTGGGTGCGTCCAATGCAAATCTTCAAGACCAATATTTGGCAAAGCAGATTTCATTCTTATAATCTCAGCCTTATCGATGGCATCCGGTGATTAAAACTTAAATTCATTATAATTTATCGCTTGTACAATACATTCTTCACAATTTAATCAAATAGTAATCCTCAGCATATCGTTTATAAACAAATATTATTTCGAACCATTGGATGTAGTTTCATCACCCCTCCCCCCCCAAAAAAACATATTAGGGGACTGCGTTGGGGGAGTTAGTTGGGGAAATGTTACATAAATATATTGCAGGCTACATGTACATGTACATCATTTTCAGCACAAAAACGCTAAGTCAAGAAGCAAAAAAAAATTTAACCCTCCTACATTTGTATTGTTTGATCAATCACAGACAGCCAAAATTTTCTTCCACTTCCTCTACCATGCATTTGTATACAGGCTGATAAAAAGAAGTCAGATCACCCATCAACAGACAAAGAGGGAAATGATACGTGTAGGTACACGTGTAAATGTACAGCCGGCATATCAATCACGACGTTGCTTGATTTAATATCCGGTACAAGTGAACTCTTAACTGCTTTAAACAGTCACTTGACTGATTTTGACTGCAATGATGGCATACAGTTGAAGCTGAAAATTCCAGCCAAAGAGGGATAGAAAAACATTAATAACAACAAACCAGAACGATTGAACTAAATTTTATGGCTATAGTATAAGTATAACAAAAATCTTGTAAAAAAACACTGAAAAAAAATTCAAAGGTTGAGGTAGATGTAGCCTTGAAATACTTCCCAATTTTTTAGGGGAGTTGATTATTATCTTTATCAACATTCCAAAATAACAATAGTCATTATTTTGAAAATTCCTCAAAGTTTTGAAATTCACTCACCCATTGAATGAGTGGTCTTTGGGTAAGAAAAATAGCCAGACATACCAGTATGCAAATAAACGCCTGCCCCCAACAGCGATTTAGACTTTTGTGTTGAGGCTACTGATGATAGTGTGCTTGAAACGGAATCAGGTCTGGGTTGATATTTAACCCACATGAAGCACGCAATACATGTGGGACAATCGCTGTTCAAAATGGTTCTCCAAAAATTAAACAATTTTAAAGTTTTGGCAAACACAGACTTCAAAACCAGCTTTTTTGGAACTTTTCTAAGCATACTTAAATGCATTCCAAATTACGTACAAAAACATTTTGTATACATGTATGTATGTAAGCCACAAAAGCCACCATACACAGCTTACTTCAGACAGAATTGTCAAAAATAGCTTGAAAGTCCTCCATCCCACACCAAATTGGCACACAATTGTAACATCGATCTAATGGGTGTCCAATTTTGAAATCTATACTCTCCATTTAACGATTCATGCACTTGGAATGTATTTCTAGTTGGCAACAATGATTAACGATTGGTGACTAAGTACAGCATCAGTGCACGCTGTGTGATGTAGGTCTACTCCCCGTCTTTGCTTGGGTTACAAATGATTATTTTTGACACAACTGTGTACCAGTGGCCGTATAAACAGATCTACAATGTGCTGGTTTAATTTTTTTACTAAATGCCACAATGAAGCATGAAGGCTTAAGGGTTCTCCCTAAAAATGTTTAAACTATTTGAGAATCTTTTATTTCTATGTTGAGATGTTTATCAACAATACCAAACAGTTTTCACCTGTTGTAGAGTCGTAAAACCTTCCCACTGAATTAAATGTACATGATTTTATATTTTTTTTTTTTTTTTTCAAATACATACATTTCTGAACAGTTTCTGTTTTTCTGAACAGTTCCTGTTCATTTTAAAAACATAAAGAAAACTACCGGTAGTAACATCATCAATTTTAAATGAGTAAATTACTAATTGATTTCTTTGGTACTACTCTTGTGCCAGTTGTGAGTGACTCTATGAAGAGACTACATGTAACTTGGCGTTTTGAAGAGTGTGATTTGTTCATTTTTTAAGTAGTAATTTAGTTTGTATTTTTCCTAATTTCTTTTTTTTAATAGAAAAAAAATATAGAAATGAAGAAAATCATACTCACGCTTGCGTTCAGTGTAGACACCACCATTTCTGGTGTCGGACCCACTTGTATCATGGACGTAGCTGTACTCTACAATGCCAGACGTTGAGCTGAGGTTGGAAGAGTAACGTTCACCTCTGCCTCTACGATGACTGGCAGCCATCTTGGACTACCTCAGCTGCATGTACACGTACTGCAAAACAATTGGGGGTTGTAAGATTTGAGGCTTTGCATGGTGGAGTATCGGTATCGTTTCGGTTTGTGGTAACACCATGTGGTAATAACTACTGCTTAGAAGATAGTTAGTTCTGAAAAGAACTTGTCCTGCTTATTATCAACTTTCGCTGAGTAGTTTTTGTTCTGATAAGAACAGTCCTGCTTTAAGTTCTAAAAGAACTTGGGGGTTGGAAAGTAATGTTTATGAATAAATTGTTTGAAAGAATCAAATTTTGAACATCCCAACTCATAGCTGCCTGGAGAATCTTTCACAGGACACGGTACTTAATAGGATTCAGTCGTTATTTCTGGCTGTGTACCGGAGGATGTGTGTGGAAAAAAAAAATCTCTTTTTGACACTGGCTTCATCTTCATTGATTGACAGATTTATCATAAATTTATATTAATACAAACTTTACTCAGCTGCCTACACTAAGGGCTATAAAACAAAATTTAAATGAAAAGTGTTTAAGTTTAGACACAAACTTTGCATTTTATAAAGCGTAACTTTCGTGATTTTCTTGTATTTATTGGCACTGACGAAAAAAAATTAATGCAAACTGACTTTTTAGGGTGTTTAATACTTTAATCGGGGGAATATTAGCCTACTCCAATTTTTCTCTGGTTGGAAAACTGGCGATCATGTAGTTACAGCCCGGTTCAGAACAAAATCCACTTTTCATTGATTTGACTTACCAAACTACATGTTATTGTAGTTGGCGACATAGTAACAAAATGCAGGTACATTGTATGGCATAGATAGACGGCAGTGTTTCAAATTTTTTGAGGGCACTTTGGGGGTAAAATGACGATAGCAACGACAAAACGCAACACGAAAATAAAGATGGCGATCACCGAGCGATGCACTGTGAATGCTTAAGGCGCACTGAATCACATGGCACCAATGAAAAACCGCGTACAAAAATTGTAATTTCTATCGCAAGAAACTGTTCAAAATAGCCCCCAAAATAGTTGTTATTGGAATTGAGAGAAGGCTGCTTTCTGAGGTTGAAAAGGTAATTTTTCAATGATATAAATCACCCTTGACTCTAATTTGATCAAAACTAAAGTAGTAGTGATCACCGGTTTGAAGCAGTCTACCACATTCCACACAACTTTAAAAGAACATTTAATTAACATGAAGCATGTTGCAAACATTTCAAATTATGACTGTCGTTTAATCATCTACAGCTCAACTAATGCCCCACCCACACAGACCTGTTGTGGTACATGTACACACACAAATCCCTGGTAGACTCTGTCCTCTGAGCTTCCCACACATAAAAAAAAAAAACCAGCATGGAAGTCAATACAATCTGGTTTCCAACAATGGCATACCATCAATGGGTATATCTGTTCACTGAGCTGAATGCAAATTACATGTCAGGGGGTACAATGGAACCAACTTCTGTGGTATTTCACACACTCAATACTCAGCATGTGTACACACACTGGCCTAGCTGTGTACTGGGAGGGTTAGCATAGTAGGGATTAGAAGGTCAGACAAGTTTAACAAGACCCTTGCAATTGGATATTATGGACAACCAAAACTTTCACACAAGTGTGAATATGGAATGCGGATTTGGTATTATATTGCAAAGTTGTTTGGAAGGTAGACTTGGTATTCAGTCTCGTTGTAGGCCTAATATTTTATCTTTTGGAACTTCCTTTTGAACTTCTTATTCACACTGTGTTGTTCAAAATGATGTAATTTCTTAGCACATGAATAGAGGCTTTAACAATGCTGGGGATTAGTCAGTTAGTAATCAGAAAGTTCACTGACACATGACACCAATCGATACTAATAACATGATGTTGTTCTGGCTGAATTCACAGATGAGTCACAAATGAACCATCACTTGTATAGACTGCATTTCACACTACATATTCATAACCATTCACTAAAAGATTTACAACCCAAGGATGCACTTAAATACTACAGGTTATCACAATCCACATTTAAATTAATTCAGCCAAACAATTTTTCAGGTAAGGAATTACACCAAAAATTGTTGATATTAAATCAACTGTAAATTCCATAAATTCCTTTGAGAAAATATAGGTAGAATAACAGGCAACTTTCAAAATTTTCAAAATGGGCTGCCATAGATATTTTTTCAAAGGACAAATCTGCGATGGCCCTTTAGCCGATCTGTTTCAAGACATAATCTGATTGTGTGCCAAATGTCATGCTCGTATCATCAACGGCACAATCCCATCCTATTGGCCATACTACACATGTGATGTTTAAAAACGGTTAGGGGCCTGGTCGCCATCTTGGGCCAGGCACCTACCTGGTTATAAACCACACATTTATAAAGTCTGCTCCATCAACAAGTAGGAACAGGCCCCTCTTTTTTATGAATTTAAGAGTCAATGATTTTTTTTTATTATTCCAAAACGACTTTTTCAATGTACATGTAGGCTATAATTAAAAGCAGACTTCTATGCTAAGGACAACATTTTGTTTGTATTAGTTTTGAACAGCTTCGTGCGATAAAAAGTGCGATATTCATACACGTTTTATTGTTGATTCCATGCGAATCTGCACAGTTTGACGTGTTCATAATGTAGAAAATCACGGAAGCCACGAAGCTACAAGAAATTTTCTCCTCGATACATACATCACCACTAGGACCGTGAGATTTTGAATATTTTGTTCATACTCTGCAATCGTATTTGCTCTTGCATCAAATGTTTGTTGAATCAAAATAAATTGCAGAGTCTCTAACATTTGAAAATTCATCAACAAACGACCGTATGTTCTTGCCTAAATGTACTTTCTGGATTTCGCGTACATGTAGGACCCAACCACACGAGCGTTAAGCGATTTTATGTGACGTATTCTGTGATATGGGTCAAAGGTTTTTGGTCCGTGCGTGTTCGTGCCGTCGCGCTGCAGACAAAGTTTAAAAATAATTTACATAAATTCTCTTTTTTAAAATTTGCTGGAATTCTCTTGAATGAACTGTTTTTCAAAACAAAAAAATTATCGGAAAATGTGCTCGATTCATGGTGGTTCTGGCTGAAAAAAATGTATTTGCACGAAGCAATTTTTGATTGATTCGGAACTGATTAAAAAGATCTGGAATTAGGAAAAATGGCATCAGCACTGTTGACATTGCAAAGTCAAAATTAAAAGAGCATACATTTGGAAAAAATATTTTGTAGTAACTCCATCACTCAAGGTAAACTTTTTAACCAATTTCACTTGAATTCACGGATTTGAGTCGAAAGCAGCCTGAATGATGTTTGTTATCCGGAACTCATGGAACAAGGTAAATGACTAACATTAACAATGACTGAACCATTTGAAAACAACATGAAATAAAATTCAATAACAAACTTAGGCATTAGTCTGACGGCTTCAATTACACCTTATGTATAAGGCCGAATAAAAAAACAACATGTTTCTCGTCCAGGTTTTTGAAAAAAAGGAGGAAGAGGGGCTTTTTATTTTTCCTTTTTTTCTAGATGGCCGCCATTTTAAAATTTCCTGCAACCGTTGGTGTTTCCACTGTTCAAAGACACTTTTAAAAAGAAAGACAAGTTGGACAGGAGAACTGAACATATTTAGGCTTACAGTGTCATTTAGAGTTGTATTGGTCTACAATGACATGAATGAACAGTTTTAGATGCGTTTGCTTTAACCGCGGACTTTTTCTGTGTTTTTTTACTGCATTTTTTAAAAATAAAAAAATTATTAAAAAAATCCAGGCGGCCTCCAAAAAGGAAGCGGGCGGGGACGAGAAACATGGGTTTTTTTACTTCGCCTAATTAAAGTAAATCACTAAAGCAAATTACACACGATAATTTTGAAATATGAAAATCACATTGCTCCATGAATGTCTACACACATGACACAAGCAATAATGAATAGACATATAAAGATTCAACCAGTGTCAAATTATTCAATCCAAATACCCATATCCATTATCTGCTGTCTTTGACTTGACATGGTGTGTACATGTATGTACATGTACAATTTACAAACACAAACACTGACCCGTGAAACGGTTCATCAGCTGCTCTTGAATTTTTATTATTTTTGCAAATTCTGAGTGATTATGAAATATTTAATGAATGTCATGCATCATATTCACCCTACCTTTACTCAGGATACCTCAAGACAGCTTCTATAATTCAACACTGTGTCTACATTATCGTCTTTCGGTAGTTTCTAGAGATAAAAACGAAGCATATTCCTCTTTCAGTGTGTAAAGTACCGCCCTACATGTAGCTTGTCATACGCTTGAATAGTCCGGCCTGCCGCGGTCGCAGGTACGGTACAGGTCGCTTGCCCGAGGATAACGCTGCGGCTGTTCAGTGTGTTTTGGACTTTGGTCGTGATTGTCACAACCCTCTCTACCAAAATGTACACACGCTTCCTTATTCCTCCATACAAAACATATAAGCCAATTACTTCCTGTGTAAACTCTTACAGAATTTTTTTACCAGAAAAAGTTAAGACATTTCTGTTTGGTATGAACAATTTTTCAAAAGGTGCATTTGGTTGTAGATCAGTAGAATTTTCCAGAGGGAGAAATTGTGATTCTACCAACAGCACGGAAGTCACTTTTTCAACAGGTGTTTCTGGTATCGGCCTCTAGAGGTCGCTCTTCATGTTTAACGGGCACGCCCTACCTTCATATGAAATTTCCAGGGACGTAGTAAACTTTGATCGCTCCTGTATTTAGTTACTAGGCTAGTATTATTACTATTTCCAATGAGATTGAAATGAAAATAAGAAAGGATTTGGAAAAGTATTTCACGATCAGAGCAAATGATGTGTATGCACATGGCTGTATGAACTGTGCCTTATAATTTGTTTTCTCTTAGTTCCTTTTGTCTTTTTAAACTTGCCTTGTACAAGTGGATGACAACTGTTGCATACTGTCTACGCACAAAAAGACCTGAGGCCTAAAGCAATGAATCAGGATTATTAATATTCTTGAAATTTAAGTATTTTGATTCCCCCCCTTATTATATTAAAATAACATTGGTCAGTCGGATTAACAGGGGCTTTTGTTTTAGCTGGTTTGGCTGACTTACAATCTCCCGAAATGACCAACACGGCGAGTTTCATCTTCAAGGCGGTAGTGTTTATATGACTGTTGTTCTGCTTCAATTAAAAATTGCTGAAAGTAGGGGGGGGGGGCTGGTACCATCTGTCGATGGGTGCGCTGTTCAAAACCGACGAGTACGAGGCTTTTTCAGGGCGATACATGTGCGAAATTAAATAAAAAGGCACTCGTAACTGCAGCTGGCACGAAAAGGGCACGATTTTTTTCTCTCAAAAGGGCACTTGTTCAGAAAAAAGGGCACTTGTTAACAAAAGAAGGGCACTCTTTACACACATTGGGGGTGGGGGGGGGGAAAGCTGGTGAAAAAAAACCTTTTCAATGAAAATGACAGACTCTACAAAATATTGGGGTGGTTTTTTTCGCGTTCAAGATTGGTGGCGCTTTCGTGTTCTTCCTTTTATTTCGCCAAATGTCGGATCAGACGATATAGCAACGTTGTCAAATAATTGAAGGCTGTATAATTTGAACGTACTACATATAAACATGCATGAGGTGAGCCATCCTGCATGGCTTAACCTGGTACCTAACGTTTGCTGCGCTCTCGTATTAAGATATTTTTGTCTCTGAATAAAACAAAACAAATGTGATGTTAAAGAGTATAGTGTCACTTCAGGGACGCAACAAAAATACACAGCTATATAATACTCCTGTAGATAATCCGTGTATATCTGATATCGATGTTTGTATGTCTATCTTTTTGTTGTCTTTTTAAACCCAAACACGAGTCGGTTTTCTTTTATAGTTTGGGGTTTAATCGATAATTTTGAGGGTTTGGTTTTCAGTTCTACAGGTATGTTTCAAAAACTAATGAGACCATGAATTTGCTAAATTTATGAGACGTCAGGGGATCGCGTAAAGTGATTAGAGCCAGACTTAAACGGTAAAAACCGGAGATTCGCTGACAGTCTCTATTTTTCTTTTTAAGAAAGTCGAAATAGCTGGAGAGGGAGGTGAGAATCTATATGTGCCCAGATACAAGGAGTAGAAATCTACGCGTCTGCCTTTTGAAAATACACAATTGCGGTGTTCATTGTTGCGTAATGATCCGCCTAGCACTCGACTGTTTTGCACATTAGGCTGTGTTACCAGCTTCTTAACAAACCAAACACACTGGGCTCATTATATCGACTTGTTTTTACCCATTAAGGTAAATCAAATGGACCCAGTAATCTTCCTGGCACGTTTGCTCACCTATCATAAAGACAACTTTTCTCAGTTTAAGGAAAATTCTAAGGTAACGAAATGGCCGAGTGGTTAAGATTCGTCGTCCACGGTTAGCGGGGTCCCGGGTTCGAATCCCGCTGGTGTCTTTTTGGTTTTTAACGTATGAGTTCAATCATTTACTATAAGAGATTTAATTTCCCGTCGTAAAGCACCAACAGTACCTTAGCTTAATCGGTAAGCACTGCTGCTGGTACTGTCCGCGAGTTCCAGGTTGGCGCCTTCGTACAGGTTCAGGGCATGTGGTCCACTCGGAGGATCAGGGCTTAGGGGCCGCCCTGTTCCTCCCTTAGCTCTTTGCTTTTACATGGTGCCTGGCCCTCCGGGGTTATATGGATGGACAGGGAAGGAAGTGTGTATTGGTCGGGGACGCCGAGACCCCGGAAGAGAACTAAGGGATCGGCTGGGGCATTGTTATGGCTCAGACCGACCCCTGAAAGCTTGACTAGCACATAACTTTTTGATTTTTTTTTACCCTCTATCTTTTATACATTGGTTTAGTTTGATATTTACAGCTGCTCGGCAGGTCTACGGGTAGTATCAAAATTGAAACAAAGGTGTATGTCATAAATCAATGAATATTTCATAATTGACTATAATCAAAACGGAGTTTCGTTTGATCAATTTGACTATCATTATATAATGACGCGATTGCCAATTGACGTAAGAAACGCCATAAATTATACGGGGAAAGAATAAAGATGTACATTGTAATATAAATATTATTTATACATCTTTCAAATAACGTGTCTTTAATTGTGAGCATTTCAAACAATACAGTAATTCGCAATAGTAATAGAATGGTATATGATAGCACGATCAATGCGTCTCTACTTAATTTTAAAAATATATAATTTAGGCCCCTATGTGTGAAATATTCTTTGATTGACTATGAGCATTTCGTACGAATGAGTTAATTCGCAAAATATAGCAACACCAAAAGAGAAAGGAAAAAGACAAAATTCCTTTACCCTAAAAACTGGAAAAATAATTTGTTTTAAAAAAGTCAAATGGGACACTTCATGTATTGATTTAACAGTTTGCAAGGGGTCAACCTTACATATTAGCAAAATTGGGAAAAATCAGAAGTTTCTGGAAAATTGCAGCTTGTAAGGGATTAACCTTGCATTTTTAGTAAAATTTAGATGTTTATGAAACATTTCAAATTGTAAGGGGTGAACCTTGCATTTTTTAGCGAAATTGGGCAAAATCAGATTTTCTGGAAAATTTCAGATTGTAAGGGGTTAACCTTGCTTTATTGATATTTGGCAAAATAAGATGTGAATGAAACTTTTCAAATTGTAAGGGGTTAACCTTGCTTTTTAGTAAAATTTGGCAAATTTAAATGTTTCTAAACAATATCAAATTGTAAGGGGTGAACCTTGCATTTTTTAGCAAAATAGGGCAAAATCAGGTGTTTATGAAAAATGTCAGATTGTAAAGGGTTCACCTTGCATTTTTAGCAAAATTTGGAAAAATCAGATTTGTATGAAAAATCAAAAATTGTAAGAAGTTAACCTTTGCCCAATTAGGGCAAAATCAGATTTGTATGAAAAATCAAAAATTGTAAGAGTTAACCTTTGCCCAAAATTGCAGATTGAAAGGGGTTAACCTGGCATTTTTAGCAAAACTTGGCAAAATGAGATTTTTATGAAAAATCTCAAATTGTAAGGGGTGAACCTTGCATTTTTAGCAAAATTGGGCAAAATCAGATGTGAACGAAAAATGTCAGATTGTAAGGGGTTAACCTTGCTTTTTTTAGTGATATTTAGCAAAATAAGATCTGAATGAAACTTTTCAAATTGTAAGGGGTTAACCTTGCTTTTTAAGTAAAATTGGGCAAATTTAAATGCTTATGAAAAATCTCAAATTGTAAGGGGTGAACCTTGCATTTTTTAGCAAAAAAGGGCAAAATCAGGTGTTTATGAAAAATGTCAGATTGTAAAGGGTTCACCTTGCATTTTTAGCAAAATTTGGAAAAATCAGATTTGTATGAAAAATCAAAAATTGTAAGAGGTTAACCTTTGCCCAATTAGGGCAAAATCAGATGTTTCAGGAAAATTGCAGATTGAAAGGTGTTAACCTTGCATTTTAAGCAAATTTTGGCAAAATGAGATTTTTATGAAAAATCTCAAATTGTAAGGGGTGAACCTTGCATTATATTAGCAAAATTGGACAAAATCAGATGTTTCTGAAAAAAAATTCCGATGTAAGGAATTAACCTTACTTTTTTCTTTAGTGAAATTTGGTAAAAATGAGGTGTTTATAAAAATTTCAAATTGTAAGGGGTTAACCTTGCATTTAAGCAAAATCGGGCAAAATCAGATGTTTCTGGACAATTTCAGATGTAAGGGATTATCCTTGTTTTTTTTTAGTGAAATTTAGCAAAGTTAGATGTTCATGAAAATCTCAAATTGTAAGGGGTGAACCTTGTATTTTTAGCGAAATTGGGCAAAATCAGAACTTTCTGGACAATTTCAGATTGTAAGGGGTGAACCTTGCATTTTTTAGCAAAATAGGGCAAAATCAGGTGTTTATGAAAAATGTCAGATTGTAAAGGGTTCACCTTGCATTTTTAGCAAAATTGTGAAAAATCAGATTTGTATAAAAAATCAAAAATTGTAAGAGTTAACCTTTGCCCAATTAGGGCAAAATCAGATGTTTCAGGAAAATTGCAGATTGAAAGGTGTTAACCTTGCATTTTAAGCAAAATTTGGCAAAATGAGATTTTTATGAAAAATCTCAAATTGTAAGGGGTGAACCTTGCATTATATTAGCAAAATTGGGCAAAATCAGATGTTTCTGAAAAAAAATTCCGATGTAAGGAATTAACCTTACTTTTTTCTTTAGTGAAATTTGGTAAAAATGAGATGTTTATAAAAATTTCAAATTGTAAGGGGTTAACCTTGCATTTAAGCAAAATTGGGTAAAATCAGATGTTTCTGGACAATTTCAGATGTAAGGGATTATCCTTGTTTTTTTTTAGTGAAATTTGGCAAAGTTAGATGTTCATGAAAATCTCAAATTGTAAGGGTTGAACCTTGTATTTTTAGCGAAATTGGGCAAAATCAGAATTTTCTGGACAATTTCAGATTGTTAGGGGTTAACCTTGCTTTTTTAGTGATATTTGGCAAAATAAGATGTGAATGAAAAATTTCAAATTGTAAGGGGTTCACCTTGCATTTTTAGCAAAATTGTGAAAAATCAGATTTGTATAAAAAATCAAAATTTGTATGAGTT